ACTTCTACCTTTAGAGAAGTAGCATTCACAAGTGGAGTCCTCTACAAAGATACCTTTATGACATGGTGGGCTCTGATAAGTAAAATAAAGAAAAAAATTGAATTGTCAGTGTCTTAAGTATCTACTTTGCTTTAACCCTTATAGAAATTTAATCCAACATTTTGAAAATGAAAAGAAGAGGAAAAAGTAGAAGGAATGCAAAGACTTGATTGAATATTTCATAGGTATGTTCAGAATTGGGTATGTTTTTGTGTTTGTAAATGGTAATTCTATCATTTTATAAATATGTGTTACTATGGTTTGGTGTTCTTGTGATTTATTTAGACAAATTATCAAAGAGTAATGAATAAGGTTCTCCAGTGCTCATATTCCACAGACACACTATTCAATTAGGTAGTCTTAGAGCGCTAAGAACTAAGAAACCAAGTGAGACTCTATAATGTTCAGCCTAGGTATAATGAAAAGAAAAATTACATTCAAGAATACAGGAATCAAGACTTGTCTCTGTCATATCTATTTCCCTATAGTTTAGCTAGGAGCAGTGGATACATTTGGAAGAGGAAGATCATTTCCTTGGACTCTAAACCAGTACTGAACTAGTAGTGATAACACTTCATTGCTCCACTCCCTTTGTGTGTCTGCATATTGACCTTCTGGAACAACATTAACCTGCCAACCATGAACTGTCACCACCACCCTCTCCAACTCCCTGTCACCTGACAAGAGACTATGTCTACACCTGGTGGGTGGAGCTAGCAGAGACTCTCTCATTGGTTTCAGTGTTTGCGGCAATTCAGTGAGATATAGCAGGCAGGGATGATGTCCCTATGCTAAGGTCAGAGCTTACAGATGGAGCTTCTGGACTTGCCATAGAGTCATGTGGAAACCTATGCAGCCATGGATAGACACACCTTACGTCACTGACTATACTTTGATGTTTCAAACTTTTGACTCTTTTGGAGGGGGTCTGCCAACCAGCTCCTAAATAAATCACACAGAGGCTTATACTTAGTTACAAATATCCAGCCTTAGCTTGGCATATTTCTTACCAGCTTTTCTTAACTTATATAATTCTCTCTACCTTTTGTCTCTGGGCTTTCTCTATTCTCTTACTTCTGTACGTCTTACTTTCACTCTTACCCTGTGGATTGTTGTGTAGCTGGATGGCTGCCCCCTGATGTCCTCCTCTTTCAATCTCTCTCCTTCCTTTCTCCAAGATTTCTTCTTCTATATATTTGCTCTACCTAAAAGCCCTGCCTATTTTTTTCCTGTCTTGCTATTGACCATTCAGATCTTTATTAGATCATCAGGTTTTCTAGACTGGCAAAGTATCACAGCTTCATGGAGTTAAAGAAATGCAACGTAAACAAAAGCAACAAACCTTATATTTTTGGGGGGATCATATTCCCCAGCACCTGGCAGCTTTTTATGGCTACAGAATTACAATATGTCTGAACAGTATTTTGGTAGAGAACAGACTTTCCCTAGGACTTCTGTCACCATTCAGGATCCAAAGCTAGGAAGCAAAATTTAACAAAAATATGCTTTGTGAGGAAAAATATAGCAGGAGATAACAGGTTGTATAATAAATTCCTGACAGTTATTATTTCATAGTTATTCCTCCAAAAGCCAGGCAGAATCTTTAAGTCCTAACCATGGGCTGGTGGCTGTCGAAAAGGTGTGTGGGACTACCACAATCCCAGACACAGACCACTCTCTGTATATACTCTCTCAGACACACATTGTCTATGGATTTAGACAAACCTGGACTTGGATCATTCTTTATTGATAAAATAGCAAAGGCACACAATACAAGACTGTCAGCAAATATGGACAAAAGCTTGTAACGTGTAATTGTGAAATAGTAGGTGATGAAAGTCTTCAGGAAAAGATAATCAAAAGCACAATGAGATATCAACTCACCATAGTACTGTTCTCTACTATTAAAAATGATTTCACCTCACCATGGTACTGTTCTCTACTATTAAAATGATATAGCAAACAAGCGCTGGTGAGAATATGGAATAAGGATTTCGGAGGATATAAAGAATTTCACAATAGCCACAAATAGCATAAAATATCTTGGGGTAACACTAACAAAGGACATGAAAGACCCATTTGACAAGAACTTTAAGTCTTTGAAGAAAGAAATTGAAGAAGACACCAGAAAATTTAAAGGTATTCTATGCTCTTGGACAGGAAGGATCAACACAGTAAAAATGGAAATTCTACCAAAAACAATCTATAGATTCCATGAAATCTCCATCAAACTCCTAACACAATTCTTCACATATCTTGAAAGAACAATAATCAATTTCATATGGAAAAACAAAATCCCAGGAACTTCTGAAGGCATCATCACCCCTGACATTAAGCTCAATTACAGAGCTACAGTAATCAAAATAGCATGGTATTGGCATAAAAACAGAGACATTGACGTTACATGGAAACTGTATTCTTTTAAACACTGCCTGGCCCATTATCTGTAGCATCTTATTGGCTAACTCTCTCATATTGATTCAACCCATTTCTAATAATCTGTGTCTCATCACGAACTCATGGATTACCGGGAAAGATTCAGTGTGTCTGACCTGGAAGCTTCAGGGCAGGCAGTTCTCTGCCTCTGCCTGACTCTGCTTCTTTCTCCCAGAATTCAGTTCTGTCTTCCCCGCCAACCTATGTTCTGACCTATCAGGCCAGGCAGTTTTCTTTATTAATTAACCAATGAAAGCAACAGAGAGATAGAAGACTCTCCTACATCATTTACACACCTATGAACACCTGATTTTTGACAAAGAAGAAAAATTATGCAATGGAAACGAAAGCATCTTCAACAAATGGTGCTGGCATAACTGGATGTCAACCTGTAGAAGAATGAAAATAGATCCATATCTATTGCCATGCACAAAATGCAAGTCCAAATGGATTAAAGACCTCAATATAAATCAGATCACATTGAACCTGATAGAAGAAAAAGTGCTAAGTAGCCTACAATGCATGGGCACAGGAGACCACTTCCTAAATGACCCAGTAGCACAGACAATAAGATCAACAATAAATAAATGGGACCTTCTGAAACTGAAAAGCTTCTGTAAAGCAAAGGACACAATCAATAAGACAAAAAGGCAGCCTACTGAATAGGTAAAGAGCTTTACCAACCCCTCATCAGACAAAAAACTGATCTCCAAAATATATAAGGAACTCAAAAAATTAGACATTAAACTTCTAAATAAGCCAATTAAAAAAATGGTGTACTAAACTAAATAGAGAATTCTCAACAAAAGAATTTAAAATGGCCAAAAAATACTTAAGGACGTGTTCAAATTCCTTAGCTATCAGGGAAATGAAAATCAAAACAACTCTGAGCAACCATCTTACACCTGTCAGGATGTCTAAGATCAAAAACACCAATTATAGCTTATGGTAGAGAGAATACAGAGTAAGGGGAACACTCCACCATTGCTCATGGGAGTGCAAACTTGTGCAATCACTTTGGAAATCAGTGTGGCAGTTTCTCAGGAAATTGTGAATCAACCTACCTTAGGATCTAGCAATACTACTCTTGGGAATATATCCAAAAGATGCTCAATAATACTGCAAAGGCATTTATCCAACTGTGTTCATAGAAGCATTATTTGTAATAGCCAGAACCTGGAAACAACCTAAATACCCCTCAACTGAATAATGGATGAAAGAAAGTATGGCACATTTACACATTACAGTACTACTCAGCAGTTAAAAAAAATAGTGGCATCTTGAATTTTGCTTGTAAATGGATAGAATTAGAAAACACTATCCTAAGTGAGGTAACCCAGACCCCCCAAAATGAATATGGTATGTACTCACTCATAAGTGGATACTAGCCATAAACAATGAACATTTATCCTATAGAAGTTCATGATCCTATAGAAACTAAGTAATAAGTTGAACCCAAAGAATAACATATGTAGACCCACCTGGGAATTGAAAACAGACTAGATCACCTGACAAAATTGGTAGCAAGGAGACGGGGGTAGATGGAAGAGGAGAAGTGGAGGGTTGAGGTGAACTTGAAGTAATGGGATAGTCAAGATGGAGAAAGGACAGATAAGAGAGCAATGAAAGAGATATCTTGATTGAGGGAGCCATTATGGGGTTAGTAAGAAACCTGGCTCTAGAAAAAATGCCCAAGAATCTACAAGGATGATCCCAGCAAAGACCCTAAGCAATAGAGGAGAGGGTGTCTGAACTGGCCTTGCCCAGTAGTTAGACAGATTATTATCTTAAATATCACTATAGAACCTTTGTCCAACAACAGGTGGAAACAGAGAAACTCATTGGAGCACAGGACTGATCTTCCAAGGTCCAGTTGAAGAGCAGAAGAAAGGAGAGTATGAGCAAGAAGGTTAAGACCATGAGGGGTTCACCCACTGAGACAGTTTGCCTGGACTAATGGGGAGCTCACCAACTCCACTGGACTGGCAGTGAATGAGAATGGGATCAAAGTAGTCCCTCTGAATATGGATGATAGTTGGGGCAGACTGAGTGGCCACTGACAGTGGCACTGGAATTTGTCTCTACTGCATGTACTGGTTTTTTGGGATCCTATTCTATTTGGATGTATACCTTGCTCAAACTACATGTAGTAGGGAGAGCCTTGAACTTGCCACAGGGCAGGGTGCCCTGTCCTCTCTTAGGACTGGAGAGGGGAGGGTTGGGAAGTATGTGAAGAGAGTGGGAGAAGGGGAGGGAGTGGGAATTTGAATTGGTATTTTTATAGTAATAAAATAATAATAATAAAGCAAAAATAAAGGAGAGACAAAATACATAAATATATGGGAGAGGGGATGATATAGAGAAAGACATACAGATAATAGATGAATGAGAGGCAATTTATCAAAACAATTGGTACACACGGTCTTATAACTGATAATTTCCAATGTGAGCTGACTGCAATACAAATACTGAGGAAAACAGGTGGCAAGTCTGAATGCAAATTTAAAGACATGACGATAGCGGAGTAAAGTGTGCAGAAAATCTTTATTAGCAAAATGCAAAACTGTGTAAAACATTAGTACTTTGACTCACTTTAACAAAAAGTCACATTTTGTGCCACAACAATTGTATTATGGATCAAATAGCATTGAGAATGTGTGCTTGTGCACTAATGTATATACAGAAATAAATCTGCAGTAGAACCCAAGGTAGGAACTTAGACAAAGTGACTTCTCTAAGATTAAGTTAGGGAAGGGATAATCATCTCATTTGAATACTTGTAATGTAGTAGGAAGGAAATAATGCATCTAAAAGTGACAGAAATGTGACTCCTCCTGGAATCATTATTCTTTTGGGATGAGAAGGGAAGCATTATGGAGCTTATAGTTAGCAATAGAAAAACAAAATGCATGCTCAGTTCTAACCTAAGAACATCAAGGAAAAACCATATTTAAAATTTTACCTTTTATTGACACTAACAGCAAAGCAAGACATGACCTGACTCTGCAATTGCACCCCTCCCCATGACTTATCCTCTAACTGGAGCTACTCCTGGACACTGGTTGTTTGTTTGAAATACAAATACTTCTAGTGAGTCTAAGTGATACTCAGCCAAAGAGCCTTGGTACCACCTTCCATGTATGTATGTGGGTGTGTGGATGTGTGTGCATAATCAAGTATCTATATGTAAGAGAATGTCAATACATGTACATACACATATGTGGATGTCAGAATTGAACCTTGTGTGTTGTTCCTTGGGAGTTGACAAGCTTGTTTTCAGAGACAGGTTATAACACTGGGAAATAAGGCTCACTAATTAGGCTGGGTTGGATGTCTAGCAAGCTCCCAGGATCTTTTGTTCTGTTTACGCAGTGTTGGTACAAGAACACATCACTATGTCTTCAGGTTTGATTGGCAAGCACTTCAGTCAATGAAATATTTCTCTAGCACTCACTCCTATAAGCACTATGCTTCATGGTATGTGGACCAACATGATGTATTGGGAACTCTATTTTATTTTGCTTCTTACATAAACTGTAAGCAAGTCTAAGAACAGGTGAACAAATCAAACTTACTTATTATTGAAAACATACGTAAGAAAATGACCTTTAATTCTCTTATTACATTATTTTGAAGTGAAGTTCTATTTTAGTTAAAGGTCAGATACACATTAGCAAATGGAATAATAACACAGTTGAAGAGAATTGAATATAACAATATATTTCTACTGTGATTCCACAAGTTGCAAAATGGTAAACAGGTGTTTCCTGGGTCATGACAGAATGAAAATACATTAGAAGGGGGAAGGACATCTTGTCCCAAATGGGGAAGGAGGTGAATGAAGTCTGGAGGAAAATTGCAGAAAACAACACAGCTTGGACTAGGCAATCTGCTCTTCTTTAGATAGGAATAAAGCAGAGCTGGTATTGGGGTGGCAAAGAGGCAAATCCATTGACCACTGGGGTCGTATCAATATCCTTAGTATTAACTAGAGATTTGAGCTTAAAGTTCTGTAAAATGGTGGTGAGAAATAGAAACAGCTCCATTCGTGCCAGCCCCTCTCCTGCACAAATCCGTTTTCCTAGAGGGGGAGAAATCAAAGATTATAATTCTCATTTGTAAATTTGAGAAACACTGCATTTGTAACAGACTATAAATGAATGATAAGTTTTAGGTGGAAGAATAAATTTATGACCGCATGAAAGGACAATTAATTCAGCAAATCGAAAAATGTGTAACACATTTGTTTCTCAATTAACCTCTAATATTAAGAAATACACTGTTCAAAATACTTTTTAACTAGGTGTGGTCGTTCACATCTGTAATCAGACTGCCTAAGAGACTGAGGAAGAGAAATTCTGTGTTAATTATTAATAATAACAAAACCAAGGACAGTAGCTGCATATCCAAAGATAGCATACACACTACAGATGTGGACTCAATATCCATTACTCTCATCCTAAATAAGAAGGCGCAGGATTCTCAATTATCTGTGGAGAATGTCCTGCAATATCTACAAAACCTCCGTCATCTCCTGATGATATTGACATTTCTGGCATGCTGAACTGAGTAAAAACTCTCTGATCTAATCATGAACTTCTATTTATGATAAGTGATTTCTTCTTATGATTCTTCACTATCCGTTATTTTTGACGCAACTAGGGAGCCATTTATTAGAATTTTGTTCTATTTTTGCATTTATTTATAAAGTTGGAGAGATAAATGTACTGATATCCCCAATAACCCAGAGATCTGGGAGTCTTTCCCATTGCCATACTTTAACTGAAATTTAAGATGCATTACTCATTCATGTGTTTACCAAGTATACTTGAGGCACTTCGGTAATTTTTGGTATTTTTGGAGACTTGTAATTACATAGTTGAGTATGCAAGTAAGTGACACAGCAAAGAAGACCTGAATGAAAATTATGACAACTCCATTTTCACGGTGAGTGAGTAAAGTGTAAATGACCTTTGCCTTCTTTGGTAAGTCTCTGATATAGCTCAAGGAAGAATACAAGCACCCTATACTCTTAACTTTCTGAATTTTGAACAGTGATTGAACAGTTAAAGCCTGACTTTCATAACTTGACAGAAAAGACATATCTTTATTGTGACACACATAAACAATGAAATTCATACTCCTGATCACTGGCCATTAGGGAGCCACTATGTAAGTCTCCACAGATCCTCATGTCCATAGAAATGGATTTCTATTACCTGTTGAAAATGGCATGAAGTAGTCACTTTTCTTAAAGTTTCCATTCTTATCTAGAAAGTGGCCAGGGTCAAATATCTCTGGATTGGGGAATTCCTTGTTGTCATGCAGCACTGATGTCAGTGATGTTATTACTGTTGTTCCCTACAACAAAACACAGAAACAAAGTTATAAAGAAATCATAGAGCTAAGACAAATTAGGAAAATATCCAGGTTTACCTTCTGATCCATAGTTGGGATGAAGTACAAAGAACAGTAGAGACATTTCAAGAGGCAGAACTGTAAGCAGCAGGGAGGAAGTCAGTCACAGTGTTGTAGCTGATGTGACTTCAGTGACATTTCACATGAGTACTTGGACTAGAACTTCTGAATCTCTTCTTCCTTTCTCTGAACACTGACTGCTCTAGTTCATTACATATGTCTACATACCCTTCATGTGAATCAAGTTTCAATTAGTTAAACTATTGAGTGTTTTGAACAGAATAGGAAACCATTCATTAAGTATAATAAGAAAGATTTGAAAAGACAAATGCCATTCTTTATTCTCATTTATAGAATCTCTCTATTATTGTATTTATATTATAAGAAAGAAAATGCAAGGCTATGTGCCAGAGGAGATGTGTCCAGTCTTGTATATAATCTATCAATCTATATGAATATACAAAGATAAACATAGACATGCACATATGTGTGTCAGAAATGCAGTATGAGGACTTCTTGGGAGAAAAAAGGAAGGAATGGAATGGGGAGGAGAGGGAGACAATAACATGAAACAAAGTATGATGAAAGTAAGATGATCTGGTGACAGCTAAATCAATAGAACTTCTGAAGACACAGAAATTGCTGGGACCTGGTGCAGGCAAGTTCTCTTTAACTATTACACAAACTAAGCACATATCATTTCAAAGTTTCTAAGAATGTGGTCTACAACTCTTTTTCAAGGCTGCCCACACATATATTAGAAAGCAGTTTATCTAAATATGTTTAAAATTGTAAAACAAAAGACTGTAGAATCAACTTAATTGTTTCATAGAGTACAAGAGTAGAATATTCCACTTGACTAGAATGTCATCAACCTGCAGGAGAGGGATGATGGAGCTTAAGTTTAGCTGATGCAACACTTGCCTCAAACCCAAGGAAGATATGAGGAGATATGCCGTTCCTATCTTGCCTTTTGTTATACTAATTATTTAGTTGGTTCTAAGTACATAAACATAACCAAGTTCTGTGTATTAACCACAGACCTCAACATTCTTACCTTGAGAGTGACCCTTAGCCAAACAGATAAACTAACCCATGTAACATATCTGTTATTATACAGAAAACCTACTGCCACCTGGAAAAGTAAGTTCTTTCATCAGCACTTGAAGTTAATAACTGGAACCTTACCAATATTGTTTACCCACTCCCAATACCCCACCCCAAAAATAGAAAAATCCCAGGAGAGAGAAATGTCATGTTTTCTGAATGAAATTCTTACTATAAAAATTCTGCATTTTTCATCTGCAGTTTGTGATGTCTTCAAAATAGCACTAAGTGGCCACAGAAATGGAAGAAATGCAAACACAATGACATAGCAAAAGCTTAGTTTTAATATAAAAATTCTAACAAATTTGAGGAAAAAACTATGAAGAGAAATTTCTTAAACTAGAAGTCATAAGCAATATGTAGTGGAGAAATCCATTATAAATATGTGTTTATACCACATATAGTCATTGATCAAGAGTAATGAATACATAAAACCATAAAATGTGCATAACGAACAACTTTAAAATAAAGTACAGACTTTTGTGAATAAAATTCATCTCAAAGTGAAAAACTGAGTTCCTGGGCCATGTTCAAACATAATTGGCTCCACAATAAAGTATCTCATAAACCATTAAATAAATCAGACCAAAACTTTTCATCTGATCTACATAACTGTTAGTGTATCCTAGAACTTCAAAATTGATAGGGAAATATTAAAGTCACTATTTTTCATCCCAATAAAAAATGAGACAAGAAATGTCTATAACAGGCACAGCCCCTCCCCCCTCAGCTTCTGCAGCAGGGTTTTGGGTGTTTCACGGAAGGCCTCCCTGCCCCCACTGTTGCTACCCTTTTGTCTCCTGGGTCCTTGGTATACCAGCTATCCCTGTTTCGGTGCTGAGGAGTCCTATCCAGAGAGTGCTGAGGAGTTCTATCCAGAGAGTGCTGATGAGTTTCATCCAGAGAGGAGGAAATGGGCAGGCGTCAATGCAAGAATTCCTCCAACAACCTGAAAGGCAACATGACATCACCAAAATCCAGGGAGCATGAAACTAGAAGAATTGAACAACCTACTCCAGAAGAAATAGAAGAAATCAACTCTAAGGGATCTTTATGAAAATAATAGAGGAACTTAAACAGGAGGTGAAAATCTGCCATAAAGAAATGGAAGATAAGTATAACAAAAAGATTGAAAATGAGTAAGAAATGGAAGAGAATTATACCAAAAACTTTGAAGAAATGAGTAAATCCATAAATGAAATTCTGGGAAACCAATCAAACAGGTAATGGAAACGGTTCAAGATTTGAAAACTGAAATGGAGGCAATGAAGAAAACATAAACCGAGGGCCGCCTGGCTATGAAAAATCTAGGTAAACGAACAGAGACTTAAGAAACAAGCATAACCAACAGAATACAAGAGATAGAAGAAATAATCTCAGACTCTGAAGACAGCATAGAGAAAATAAACACTCTGAACAAAGAAAACAGCAAATCCAACAAATTCTCATCACAAAACATTCAGGAAATATGGGACACAATAAAAAAACCAAATCTAAGAATAATAGGGGTAGAAGAAGGAAAAGAATTGCAGATCAAAGGTCCAGAAAATATATTCAACAAAATTATAGAAGAAAACTTCCCAAACCTAAAGAATGATATCCCTATGAAGATTCAAGAAGCATACAGAACACCGAATAGAGTGGATTCAAAAAAAACATCCCCTCACCATATAATAATAAGAACACAAAACATTCAGATTAAAGAAAGAATATTAAGAGCTGAAAAGGAAAAAGATCAAGTAACTTATAAAAATAAACCTATCAGACTTATACCAGACTTCTCTATGGAAACCAAGAAAGTCAGAAGGTCCTGGATAGAGGTACTGCAGAAACTAAGAGACCATGGATGAAAGCCCAGACTACTATACCCAGCCAAGCTACTGTTCATTATCAATGGAGAAAACAAAATATTCCAAGATAAAAACAAATTTAAACAATACGTAGCTACAAATCCAGCCATACAGAAAGTATTAGAAGGAAAATCACAACCTAAGGAATCCAACATTCCCAACACTGCCTACAATAACTCAGACATCTAGCGACCCTTCATAAGCACAACTCAAAGAAGGGAAACACATACACTCTACTACGCCCCACCCCCCAAAAAATAGCCAGAGTCAACAACCACTGGTCATTAATATCACTTAATATTAATAGACTCAATTCACCTACAAAAAGGCACAGACTCAGAGATTGGATACGAAAACAGGATCCAACATTCTGCTGTTTACAAGAAACACACCTCAACCACAAAGACAGACACCTACTCAGAGTAAAGGGCTGGGAAAACAGACCTAAGGAACAAGCAGGTGTGGCCATTGTAATATCTAACAAAATTGACTTCAAACTAAAATCTATCAGAGAGATAGAGATGGACATTTCATACTCATAGCAGGAACAATTAATCAAGAGGAAGTCTCAGTCCTGAATATCTATTCCCCTAATATAAAGGCACCCATTTATGTAAAAGAAACACTTCTAGAACTCAAGGCAGTCATCAAACCACACACACTAGTAGTAGGAGACTTCAACACACCTCTCTCACCAATGGACAGGTCAATCAGACAGAAACCCAAAAGAGAAATAAGAATTATTGGATGTAATGAATCAAATGGACTTAACAGATATCTATAGAACTTGACAGCACACTTGAAAGCTCTAGGAAAAAAAAAGAAGCAGATTCACCCAGGAGGAGTAGAAGATTGGAAATAATCGAACTGAGGGCTGAAATCAACAAAATAGAAACACAGAAAACAATTCAAAGAATCAATGAAACAAAACGCTGGTTCTTGGAGAAAATCAACAAGATCAAAAAACCCCTAGCCAAATAATCAAACGGCAGAGAGAGAACATGCAAATTAATAAGATCAGAAATGAAAAGGGGGACATAACTACAGACACAGAGGAAATTCAGAGAATCATTAGATCTTACTATGAAAATTTATATGCCACAAAGTTGGAAAATGTAAAAGAAATGGACATTTTTTTAGATAAGTACCATATACCAAAGGTGAACCAAGACCAGGTGAACAATCTAAATAGACCTGTCAGTCGTGAAGAATTAGAAGCTGTTATTAAAAATCTCATTACCAAAAAAAGCCCAGGACCAGATGGTTTCAATGCAGAATTCTACCAGAACTTCCAGGAAGAGCTAATGCCTATACTCCTTAATGTATTTCTCAATATAGAAACAGAAGAATCAATGTCAAACTCTTTTTATGAAGCTACAGTTACCCTGATACCAAAACCACACAAAGACACAACCAAGAAAGAGAATTACAGACCAATCTCACTCATGAACATTGATGCAAAAATACTCAATAAAAATACTGGCAAACCGAATCCAAGAATACATTAGAAAAATTATCCATTATGATCAAGTGGGCTTCATCCCAGAGATGCAGGGCTGGTTCAACATACGCAAATCTATCAATGTAATCCATCATATAAATAAACTGAAAGAAAAAACCACATGATCATTTCACTGGATGCTGAAAAAGCATTTGACAAAATTCAACACCCATTTATGATAAAGGTGTTGGAGAGACTGGGGATACAAGGATCATACCTAAATATAATAAAAAAGGAAAACCAGAGAAACATCACCTTTCATGATAGCCATAAATAGCATAAAATATCTTGGGGTAACTCTAACCAAGGAAGTGAAAGACCTATTTGACAAGAACTTTAAGTCCTTGAAGAAAGAAATTGAAGAGGATACCAGAAAATGGAAAGACCTTCCCTGCTCTTGGATTGGGAGAATCAACATAGTAAAAATGGCAATTCTACCAAAATCAATCTATAGATTCAATGCAATTCCCATCAAAATCCCATCA